CTCTCTCTCTCTCTCTCTCTCTCTCTCTCTCTCTCTCTCTCTCTCTCAATCTCTCAATCTCTCTTCATATTGATTTCACTTTACTTCGGATCACCCCACCCCACCCCCGTTGACTCGTGAAGAGACAAATCGATCAGCCGTAGACTAGCCAATTCTGATTTCAAGTTTCTCTCTATCAATCTGTCTGAATCTCTCTGTATCTGACTCGTTGTATATTTGCTTACTGCAGGCGACGGCTGTTTCTACATCGGCATGGGAGGTAAAAGCGCGAAACCCAAGATTCCCTCCTATGAGCCCTACCAGTGCTGTCCTGCCAAGGTCGCCCACGGCACCAAAATCGCCAAGGCCACCAAAATCAGTCCGGGCAAGGACAAGGGCAAAGCACACGGTGCTGAGAGGTCGGACAAGCTGGGATTGCCGGCCCTGAAGCCGATAAACAAGCTCACGGCGAAGGACAGCAGAAAGACCGCGACGGTATCAACGGGAGTTAGCAAAACCGGCGGCGACCAGAAGGCTAAGAAGGGATTCTTCGGAACCGGTAAATATCTCAACTGGCTGTGGTAATTGCGGGGTTAAATCACTGCCCACGCGCCACCACGGACTACGAATCGATCGGCTGAACACGACGGAGGATAGGTGACAGTCGAAGGACATTCTGAGATCGGAAATTAAATCTGTATGACGAGCACGTGTGTTGTAACAATGTTGAGAGAGGATAACATAGCCAGGACGTCTGAGCTGAGAAATCCATGTCCAGGCAGCGTGTTCACGCGACGTGGTGGGCAGTGATTTAATCGGCACCGTTAGGGAGGACGTAGAAGGTTAGTCGTAGTGCCAGTGACACCCGATGTCAAGAGGGGCTGGACAAAAGATGAATGAAAACTCGGCCGGCTGACGAATCGTCTTCGTATCTCGAATACAGGTGTCTCGCGCGGTCCATGAAGAAAATCACCAGCCGCAAGTTCTGGATGAGCAAGACGATCCAAGACACGTGCTATGGAAGCCGGTGGCTGGGTCCTCGAATTCCTCGGAATCGTCGGGATTAATAACAGTTTCGCGAGAGTCTAACTTTTAACACGTTCGATCGATCATTGTGAATGTTATCGAGCGTTCGCGCCGGATATACGTAAATGTTAAACGACTCGACGGAGCTATAATCGCAAACGATTGCGTTCATCGAAATGCCTTAACTTGGATATATTTTTATTCGATAATACTTTTCATCGACAATCTCGAATTCAAGTGAGCTCAGATTTCGTACAGTCGAAAAAACATTATAGCTCCATCGCGATGTCCGACCGATTCCCCTCCCAATTCCCGCTACAATGTGTGTGTCTATCCAAGAGCCTTGTAATCGTCGATCGAATCCGTAATAATTAACGTCACACGGCGCGATACGCCGAACTATACTTCGGCTCTGAAGAAAGATAAATCTAAACGTATCGTGGAAGCGAAGAATGTAACTAACGATCTAAACAAAAAAAAAAAAAAAAAAAAAAACAATATCACGATGAGAAAGGATCGTGAAGATACAATTTTTCTACCTCTCACTGAGAGTTGGGTCGGGGTTGTGGCCTGTTGCAGTTGTGGCCGGGCTCCCGTACATCATGAAAGTCTAAAAATCAAGGAGATGCATGCCAGAGACGAAGGACGAAACGGGAGAACAAAGAAACCGATGAATCGAAGCCTAGAGGAAGCGAAAAATACGACAAGTCGAGGCAGAAATCAATCGACGAGTCCACCTGCCTATCGAGAGCAAAGAACTGAACTGAGAAATTTGTAAATGTTTCGTTCGTCGAACGATCTTGTTCCTGAAGTCATCGTGTCATCGTCATTTATCGTCATCTTCGTCATCGAAGCATCAACATTATCGTCATCGACGCATAATCATCTTTCTCCTCCACCGATCATCGTTCGCGAAACTAAATCTCGTCGTTCACCACGAACAACGCGGATCATCGAGAATCATGCGCCCCCTTTCCCCACAACATTTAACGTTTCTGTAATAGCAATCTTATTTTTTTTTTTCTTTTCTAAGAATTAAACGTCCTTCGAATAACATCGTTCGAGATAGTTACCGAATTCATCTTAGTGTTTCTATAAAACGCGAGCCGAACAGTTCTGCGACCATGAGCAAACGTCATCGTCGCGCGTCACGTTCGAAAGTCGAGCATGACTGACTGAAAACTATTCCCGGTTTAAAATATAGTCGATCCCGAATGCATTTCTTGCAACGAACAGATCTGTCTGTCCTCGACGCTCGAGTAACGTGCACGCGAACACAGGCGACGCGGTTCGCGTCGACGGTCAGAAATTGTTCAACGATTCATACTTGTGGATCGTCGACGTTTCGTCGTGAAACGTCGCGACGACACGATACCGCCGTTCCATTGCATTTCACCGGTAACGCGCGCGGAGAACTTCCACGGGATGGACATTTTCGAGAAGCCAACGCTCGCTGACAATGACAGGAAGAAGTAGCCATTCGCTGTTGCCGATCGTTTTGTGGTGTTCTACTTAGCTTACGCGGTATAGGTTGTAGCGACGTTTACGAAGAATTTACTTTATTTTCAATTGATAGCTTCGACCCTGGAACGCGACGACGACTCCGTCGACCTGCGGCTGAGCGGTCTAGGAGTTCGTGTAAAATATTGACAACGCGTCGCGTGTCGAAATCCAGGGTTAAAGCGAAGGGATTATTATCTATAATTCCTTAATCAATCTGCAGATCTCTCAGAGTATGTTTATGTCAAGTTCAGCACGAGCAAAGTAGGTGTGTAGTCGCAACCCTGTTGCACGGATGACGGATGTTTCCTAATATTCTTTCAGAGAATCAAACTCAAGCTTGCTTTCCTACGAAAGATTTGACTCGTCACGAACAAAGTATACGACGCTTTCGATTATATAGAAAACGATTGATCTCTCGCGAACATGAAACACAACATTCTCATCTATGCACGCAACGCTGTCATTTCTTAGTGCTACTTTTATCGTGGCAGCGACATAAACATACACTCAATTCCTCAACATTAACACGTCGAGGAACACGTGCGTTTCTTGTCACGCCCGCTACCACTAATCGCTTTTATCGCTTACTGGGCCGCACGAGCCAGCACTAAAACAAGAAAAATCCCCCAAAAAAAGAAGGTCGAAAAAATCTTGTTCTTTTTATCTTTTACCGAACGGTTCACGCGGACCCGACGAGAAAGAGAAAATACAAGAAATGCTCAACCGTTATTTATTTATTTATTTATTTATTTATTTATTTATTTCTACGAGTATTTTATTCGTTGATTTCTGTACACGCTACCACGTTTCATCAACTGAATATGCCGATAATCTGTACAAACTACGCTGACACGAAGTAATTTCGTGTGAACACTGTACTCGTGTCACGGTCACTGATTTCTAGGCGCGATAATTAATTCAACTGATTGCATACGAACCATGAATTTGAACCGTTGTCGTTGACAGGCATCCGAGAATAACGCGAAGACCTTGAGAACGGAAATCTACCGAAAAAATTTTCGAGGTAACTTTTTAAAAATTTTGTGGATAACAAAAAAAAAAGAAAGAAAGAGTAATTTAATTATCGCACTGCGTCTGTGATCACGATTATCAGGCATGAATTGTTTAATGCTCGTGAACGTTTGCGCACTACTCTGCCGACATAAGCCGCCGAACGGCGTCCTCGTTAATCGCATAAGAGCACCATGTACGATAATAAACTCGATAATAAATATGTTTCCTAGTACCAACTAGTATCCTTTGTATTTGCTTCGCCCGTTACTGCTAATGGTAGACGTAGAGTAATTCCCTCGTACCGCCTGTCATTTTTCCAAACTCGTGCAGAGTTCGACGAAGAAGATCACGCTCCATTGAACAAATCCAGTAATACGAGTTTTAGCCTGTTATCGTGACGTATCGATTAGATCGTTAGACCCTGGGTGAAGGTAATCGAAAGCTTTTTAGAAATGTGCTTTGGTATTTGTCGTCGAACATTGCCTACATTTTAACGACACAGTCACTAGGGTTACACGGTCAAACTCGTGAGAAAGTTTCGACATCCTTCTACGCTACATCTTTCATCTTTCTTGCTAAACTCGATTCTTGAATCTCACGCGAACGACCTAGATTCCATACACAGTTCTAGTTTGCTTCTTCCGACTCGAGTTGTCGCGCGAGTTGCAGCGAGGTAAGTTCCTTTCAGCATCCAGAAATCTCCAGGATTTAGGTTGAATCGAAACGAATAGCCATTCCAGATCGTTAAAAAAAAACCTTTCTCGAGGATATTTCGTAACTAACCGAAAGAGGAATGGTTTAAAAAATAATCCCACTACATTCGAGCAACCTTACGATAACTTAGGTAATCTGCTCGACGAGAACGAAGTGCTCGATTGGATGGTGAAGCAGAAAACGGACGAGAGCATCGAAGAGATCGATCGTGACACCCTCGCCAAGTATATCGAGACGAAAGAGTTCCTGGCTGTCGTTTTCTGTAAGATATTATTAATTTCAACGTCGGAAACATAACGCGAAAATTAACTCTATTTCGAATTCGTTCGTTGAGGGTAAGTACGACGTAATATAGAACTTAACACGATTAGGAATACGTTCAAACAAGATCGTAATAAAGATTCATGGATCCACTAACAAAGAATCGCGAGCTGTCGAGAAATCGAAGCTAGTTCCATTAGAGCTTAGTCGTGCATCGCACTAATTCTTCTGTAACCGTAAATTGTCATACTTGGAAGGCAAATGCGCCCCTTAAGTGGCCAAGCGATTTTGTTTTACGATCGTGTACTCGCGTCCAAACTCGTTCCAGCATGCGATGTATCATTAGCCTCCCCTATGTGGTACGTAAAGTAGACGAATGGACACTTAAGGGGTTCGTAGCGAGTCAGTTCGAAACGAATGGGAATATCTCGGTCTCGTAGACAAGGAGGAAGATCCAGAGAGTCCCAGAGTGCTCAGGCACGTCGAGCTGATCGACGACGAGGCTGCCGAGTACGGCATAAAGATCGTTAGGATGAAGGATCGACTGATGGCGAAGAAGTACGGATTCCGAAATCCGCCGGGCATCACGTACTTCCGCAAAGGCAAAAACATCAACTACGACGGGGACATCGACGACGAGGAGGAAATTCTCGATTGGCTAACCAATCCCGAGAACATGGAGCTCACCGATCACATCGAGCGTATCAATAAGAAGATGTTCCAGAAGATACGACAGACCACTGATTATCTGGCTGTGTTCTTCTGTGAGTATCGATTCCGATTCGAGACTTTAGGATTATCGACGTAGAAAACCTCTAAATGTAACCTTTGAATGTTTTATTTTAAAAGTTAAACTGTTCTAACGATCAGAGCTTGAAACGCAGTTAACACCGTTTACGAGCGCAGGCTGGCTTTTAGAGTAAACAATTTCAGAAAGATTTACGAAAGACTATTGTATTATAAAGAAATAAGACTTTCGAGCGCATCGAATGCGGTGGCGCGCGTATGTTTAGACAGCAACGACTGCAAACAGTGTGGCAGAGTACTGACAGAGATCGAGCACATCGACGACGAGGCCGATGGAGCGGGAATTAAGTTCGTGAAAATCGACGACAAGCAATTGTCCAAGCAGTACGGTGTCTTCGCCTTGCCGGCCATATTGTTCTTTAAGATGTCCTCGAAGGAGCCGGTCATTTACGCAGGTACTACAATTGATTAGGACGAGTTCGCCGTTTTAATCGCGATTCCATTCTAATCGATACCTCTCGTTGTCGATCGAAGGTGATCTGTACGATGAAGAACAAATCCTCCAGTGGCTGATGACGCAGAAGGATCCCTCCGGAGACAAAATCGAGGATCTGGATGGAGAGGATCTTCTGAATTTGATAAGAGAATCGGAATCGTTGGCGGTATACTTCTGTAAGTCTGACAGTCCTTCAGCCGCGGCCAGCTGCCAAGCAGGAATGTATCACTAGCCTGTTGCGTGGCAATATATTTCCTCTTTTTTCATACTTTTTACGATACAATCTCTCTTCCATTCATCGTACTTTGTCAAAACACTTCGCGTGTATAATATCATTTTTCCTTCGAATGATTTTTCGATTAAACGTTTACATACACTCATTCGATACGTGCACGTAAACTTTCGTCACTGACCATGTATATATTCGAAAATTCAAGACCTCTTCCCTCCTTCTCCTCCCAATCCTTTCACGCTACTCTCTCTTTCTCTCTCTCTCTCTGTCTCTCGTTCTCTGCCAATTACTTTTCGATGATTGCGAGAAAAAGTAACTGCTGACCACAGCCAGCAACACGTTTGCGTAGATTAATTCCTGCTCTGGAAGCAACGATGTCGAGCAACGACTACGCGAATTCTCGTACGAGACCAAAACTGTTGTATATATACTCGCGCGAAAAGTGTCGTTTCGTCTTGCGCTTTCTCGTCGAGCTTGATGTGTCGCAATGATTAACCGAATTATGTACTTGTCTCGTTCTGTTTTGTTCTGTCACGTTGCAATACACGTCTATTCGTGATCAGTTGCTATTGGCCCACTATCTTACTCTCTGTCACGTCCGCACGTCCGGGGCTGTACACGTTGTCTGCTAATGCCGCAGGGAACAGAACGCTTTGCGACTTGTGTGAGGCAAAATATCAGCGCAAGCAGGGCCGCCACAAGGAACGCAGGATCGTCGAACACGACCCGGTGGAGGAACTCGATGGTACACGTGAACACAGAAAGAAATTGATTTGCAAACCCGGTTTTTACTCTTCGCCGATACTCTAGATTATGTTACAGATAGTTCATCCAGCATCTCCGTGTGCGCACACACACAGAACACGAGCAATCACTCACATATATATGCCACGCGAAATTCGACATAGATATTTTTCGACGATACTTTTGTTGTACATTCCTGTTCCAGTCAAAAATATTTTTGTCGACGAGAGAGAGGTCCATATTATTTTCACGAAGATCCATTGGACCTCTCTTTCACCCTTGTCACGCAACGATTTTTCACCGTTTTTGTGAAAATCCATTTTTGCAGGTCGAGCCGCGAAACGATGGAAATTATTTTTCTCCTACAATTGTACACACAATTACACTTCCACACAGGTGTACCTGCACGATTAGAGAGCATGCACAGAGAAAACCATAGAATCAAGAAGCAGAACCATAGCGCCCTAGACACCCCGCTGAGCAACGTGCTTTTCGTTTGTCTGTGTTTGAATAGATTTAGCGTACACGTCCATAAACTGAAAGCGACGAATTTGTTTTAAGTAAAATGTACAATCGTTTTTCGATAGAATTAGACCCTGCCCAGTTTCAGCAGCTTTCGTAGATCATCGTCTGTGAACCTGAACACCAAAGCCCGATACAGTTCGTCTCCCCTACCTAATAGACTGCTCTGCCCTTTAAGTAGACACCTTTCCTATACATTCGTGGATCTTATGACGATATAGTTTCTCTTTAGACGTCGAAGACTGCGGCCAGTGCATGGGAATTTTGGAAGAGCTGGAGAACATCGACGACGACTGCGACAGGCACGGCATCACGTTCGTTAAAACCCAAGTAAGTAGCCAGTGATTCCAGTGAAACAACGACGAGGTTCTTTTACATCGTCCTCTTTTAATTAGGACTACAAGGTAGCAGAAGATTATGGAGTCACCGACTTTCCCGTGTTAGTGTATTTCGAGAAACAAGTGCCCAACGTGTTTGAAGGTTCGTCATGATTTTCACGTCGCTACTTGCCATCTTACTTGCCAAACTTGCCGGAACGTGTTTCTCTGTACAGGAGACTTATCAGTGGAGGAGGAAGTTCTGCAATGGCTAATCACACAGAAAACCGAGGATCGAATCGAACTAATAACCAGAGTGATGCTGGAATCGTCGGTCGAAGACACTCAATACCTCGCGGTTTACTTTTGTAAGACCTCTTGACCTTTGTTTATAGTAGCCACTTGTCCCAATGCGTACGGAGAAAAATCGAATTATTTTGTTGTATCGTAGACAAGCAAAATTGTCACATATGCGATGAAATTTTGGAAGGATTAGAGAAAATCGACGACGAGTGCGACGTGTTCGGCATTCACCTGGTGAAGATTCAGGATCCCCAGCTGGCGAAACGTTATTCGATCAAAACGTTTCCAGCCCTCGTCTATTTCCGAAATGGCAATCCACTTTTGTTCGAAGGTTTCTAATTTTCGCTCGTCGACCGACAGTCAAGTCCTCGACGTTTAATAATTTGTTATCGTTGCACAGGTGATCTACAAAATGAACAGTCGGTTCTCGAGTGGTTGATCGACGACGACAATCGAGAACTGGCGGACGAGATAGAATCCGTTAACGAGAGGATGTTGGAAAGACTTCTCGACGAATCGCCGTTCCTGGCAGTTTTCTTCTGTAAGTTTTAATCGATCAACTGCCCTTAAAATAAACGAACCATGTATTGCGATTTCATATGCATCGCACAGACGACGAAGACTGCCCCGAGTGCGACGACATCATGGAGGCTCTGGAAAAGATCGATGGCGAAGCGGACTTATTCGGTATCGATTTCGTCAAGGTGTGCAGCACCGAGGCTGCCGAGAAATACGAAATTCATAACATCCCGTCGCTCGTTTATTTCCGTAAAAAGACGCCGCTAATCTACGATGGCGATCTAACGCAGGAGGACAAGATCCTCCAGTGGTTGACTTCCCAGGACGTCTTCGAGATCAAAAACGAGATCGAGGAGGTCAACAGAAAGATGCTGGACAAGCTACTGGACGAAAACGAATTCCTATCTGTCTTCTTTTGTAAATAACCATCTCGTTGTTTTAATCGTTAGTCCCATGGTTTGAGAACCAGGTCAGGAATACCATGATCGAACACTTTTCAGATGAACATGACAACAAAGAGAGCGAGGAAGTGCACGAGAAGTTGGAGAACATCGACGGAGAGACGGACAACTTGGACATCACGTTCGTGAAGATGGCCGACCCGAGATACGCCAGAAAATGGGGCGTCACCAAACTTCCTGCCATCGTTTACTTTCGCAAGAGATTCCCCAGTATCTATCGAGGTGAGATTCCTCTAGAAATGAACTTGTTAATTCAAATCTCGTTTCGTTCATACGAAAGTTAGTCGTGAAATGATAAACGTTCCTCTCTTTCCCGATTAAAGGCGACATGCACAAGGAACAAGACGTGCTCGAGTGGCTACGCAAGAACAGGTACCGTCAACCGGAACTGAACATCTACATGTACATGTTGATCGCCATTACCGTCCTGTTCGCCATGTACACCGGTTTCCTCTTGTCGTGCTTCCGGTCGGAGCCCGCAGCGGCCGCGCCGCATCCAAAGCAAGCGTGAAAACTCGAACGAAAAGAGAGCCGGTAAACGCAAGAAAGTGTACAGAGACTCCGTGGACTGTTGCTGCGCGAATGTGCGTTGTTGTTGCTCTGACTTGTTTCACATATGCCTAACCAACGCTGTTCGTCCGGAACGAACGCTCCGATCAGAGGCTCGACGATACGACGATAAGAATTGTTGTTTTTGTACGACATCGACGGTTGCCATGTTTCGCTAGCCGATGAACGAACAAATAGTATACGTTACTTAGCTACAGCCATGCTACGTTCAAATCGTCCGTGAATTCACGTTTGAGCGAAGCATGAATTGCGATCAAGGGGAAAATTAAGGATAACGCTGTCGTGGCACGGTGTATGTGTAAACGTGGACCAAGTCCATCGTCCTTCATCAGGAGATTCAGACCTCTGTTCAATTGAGAAAACGCGAACGATTCGGGAGGTTGAGAGGGGAATTACTGTTATCGCATGAAAGATATTTATTATTACACAATTGCTATATTTTTAGCCGCGTTGAAATCACCATGTTGCGACACTTTGTTTACTACATATGCGATTCGCATACATATTCGACCACACTCTGTGTAAAATTAAATCGTTGATCTGGTTTGATCATCTACATATCAGGAATTCTTTGCTGTGTTTTAGAGTGAATAAATTTATCGACGCGAGTACACTGTCGCAATTTAAGGATTGTTGGTGGTCGATGATTGTCGACAAGTAAGTGTAATTATTATTCTAATGGTTTTCTTTCGTACTGGTTAGCGCAACATTTACTATCGTCATCGATGGTTTCGACAATCATTTTGCGTGCGGTTGATCACCTTTGGTCCACGTGCGTCACGTTCGCAAAGACGATTGTCACGACCGTTGCGTTAATCCGCGTTTCTTTTTGGATCCTCCGCGACGATGGATCGGTACCGACTTCTGTTAAATAAACGAAAGGGTAAAAGATTGAAAGCATGGCGAATAATATCGTCTATCGAAGACCACGCCATTAAGAGGACTAACGATATCAACTAATCATAAGGAATAAAAAAAAAAAAATACGAACCCTTGGACCAATTCCAATCTGTTTAAGTGCCACTTCCGTCTGCCAATTGTAAATAATGTAATAGTGTGAACGATGCATTACATAAAAGTAAATACGATGGTTTTCCTTTACTTTTACGTTTTACTTTCTTCTTTTTTTTTTCGCAGAAATCCACATAGATTATAATCAATATTGCATATACACGTAATTTTAGTTCTTTTGGATACTTCTTTAATTTAGAGACTTCGTTGATATTTCGAAAATATGTATTTGAGACAGTTCTCGAAGAAGTGAATATGATTTTCAAAATACATCTGACATTATGTTACAGTGCCTTGCGTGAATTCATTGTCCTATCATGAAGTAAATCTTCCTTCGATTGATCGAAAAAAATCACAAACAGGCACGCTACATTTCAAGAAATAGTATATTTATTATAAACTGCTAGCAGGCCCCGGCACGTCTTCGCCCGTGCTAAGAGAGAGTTGAATTTAGATTTTGATCTTAAAATAATTTAAACTAATGCTAACATTTAGCGTAAGGCGTGTTGATAAACAATATTTTTTGTTTTTTGATTTGATTAATTGGCTTAAAGACGACAGTTCTCATTGTTGTCGCTAGATGTCGAGTGATTTAACCTACTAGTGGCGGCATCGGTGGGAAAACGTTCAAGTTTGTAGTAAAGTTAGTTTCTATTCTTGAAGCTAGATGGCGAATGCAACGAAATATGTGAATGGCGCCATCTACCGTAGAAATAGAAACTATTCGAGGACAAACTTGAGCGTTTTCCCGATAGAGGCGCTGACCAAACTCCGCAAATTAGTTCCACCTTCTCACCGCTAGATGGCTATGCATTTCAGCGAAAATCGCGAGAATTACAAGATAAAATGTGATAGTTCAAGAGTTTAAACAAAGAAGGCTGAGAAGATACATATTAATTTTGAATTGTTGCTTCGTTCCATATTTATAGATCTTAACCTGTTTCGAATTTCACTTGTGTTGTAGTGGAATTCAACTTGGCAAACAAAATTAAACTCTTTACTTTCACTAAAAAACGCTACAGAATCTATTAATTGCAGGAACATCTTTGTAGGATTAGGATTTGACCTGAAATGTTAATGCATCACGATCAATTTTGGAAGCAACTTTTTGAAATCGTAAGTCCTGGCATGTATGAATCTTCTTTAATAGGACGTGGGAAGTATGCATCAAATTTTTGTTCAGTTGTTCTACATAACGACTTAAACTCTTCTATTTCTTGAATAGTTCTAATAAATTTTCATCAGTTTGTAGTAAAATAAGCATAAAACTGTTTATCAAAGACACCAAATTTTATTGAGTATGGTATAGTATTTTGATCAGACAAGGATAAACAATGGTAAAATGATAATAAACGCAAACTTACATCTCATGTATGTATAACTATTAACAATAATATAAGAAGCCTAAGTTAACATTAAAATAGTTGTTTTTGACATTGTTTAATCGTAAAATATGTCTTTGTTTTGCATTTTATTACTTATACACTTTGGTATCATTTATACATTTAAACTCATGTACATGTGTATATATAAATTATATTCGAATTTTCTTATGTACACACACACACCCACACATAAACACACACACGCATATGCACTGGCGTGCATATAAGTTCAAATATAATTTTTTTTTAGGTAATAGAACTTTTAAGGCTTCTAACATTCTAATCGAACAACTATCACATTCATGAAACACTTTATTTCAACTTCACTTTAAATATTCTATTGCAATCTTATGATAGAGATTTATTATATTTCAATTTATGTATGTACTACTATATATATGTATATATAGATGATATAGAAGAGTATGTATATACTTTATTATTTATAGGAGTATATATATATATATACATACTCTTCTGTGAATAAATATAAGTGCAACACTGTTATAGGAATGAGATTCTCTAAGCTGTAATTGTTTTGCGCTAACAATTATATATTTCTCTAAAGTTAAGTGTAATTTATATTTGGCAGTGTTTCTGAAACTATTCTTAGCGAAACCGGAAAATTTAAGTACTTTCAAAGATTATCTCGTTTTCTTCTTAGAAATTTCTATTGATAAATGTTGAACTCGATAACAGCTTTACTATTTAAAATATTAAATATTTCTCGTTATTGTGTACATAATTTAAAAAAAAAAAAAAAAATATTCACATAACATAACCCAATGGACAGACTACATAGTATTAAGCAAGTATTTCACGTAATTTTTTGTCGCAATCTTATTGTAAAATTGCCACGTGCAAGATATCTTTTACATTATTATATTTATATATTTCAGATATAATTCTGTTCTATTCCTTAACGATTATATTCCAAAAATAAATTTATTTTAAAAAATATGTTTCGTCATCTTCGAGTAAGTTTATCAGATTTTTACATTTATTGGCGATATTTTGTGCTATATTATCGGTTAATTTATTCTTTTATCAAATAATATTTAAGCTTTCAACGATAGGGTTTACGCATAAGAAGTTTAAGAACCACTGCTGTATGGTATGGCATCGCGCGAGGTAGTCACACAACGTTTAACTACACTCTCAAATATACTGCAAGCAAGTTTAGATCGGTTTTTTTTCTGTTTATAGAAATAGAGTTGGACAGAATTTCAATCGAACAACACATAACGTCTAATCGATCGAAAAGTTAAGATTGCATTTGTTTATTGTGAAACGTTTCATTCAATAATTCAAATGCGAATTATTATTCTACGAATAACAAATGATGAGTTATTTAATTTTCTATTCATTATTCAAAATTGTTACCTGAATAAAGGTTTCACCAATCTCTGGTAAAGAACACGTATAGGTATGCAGTATGTTTCGCAACGATATGTTCGCGTTACGTTTTGTCTCTTTTAAACTTTGGGAACGTAATGTTAAAAAAAAAAAAAAAAAAAGAAAACTATCTTACAATTATTTACATAAACACGGTGGTTCAGCGATGTAATAACAGTAACATACTTTTTTCGCGTACTTTCCGTAGCATTTTGATTAACTCTTTGATTACCGAGTCCAACGCATTTTTATTTTATTTTATTGCACTTAAAATGATTGCTACTCGAACTCGCTGATTAATTATAAGGAATACTGGTTACGTTTCTCTTAAGAATATTTATAAATTGCTAAACACTGAGTGAAGAAATTCTCACGATCGAAGGAATCCTTTGCTATTAGTCGTATCATTTCTATAATACAATTCTTTTCCATCGACGATCTCATTATCACGATGAGTCGCATTGCAAAACATTGAGATTCAAGAAAACTTCAAGTAGAATTATTTTCAGATAACAATTATCGACTCGTGGAGACGTAATTAACAGAGTCAATAAGTACGTTTTTCTAGGATGTAGGATTCGAAACCTTGAATATCAATCGTTCAATTGAAATTGTGAGTAACACGTTAAACTTCAACTCGAATAACAAGATTTTCATAATTAATTATCGTTTTCTATGAATTCGTGGAAAAGCTTTTTTTCGTTTTTATATATATTTCTTTTTTTTTAAATATTCATTTGGTACGCAACGATACCCAATCGTCCTCTACGAATTCATTTTTTCTAACTTTAATAATTCAACGTCTACCAAAGAATTTTATTTTGCCATACATTCGATCAAAATTGGCCCATAAAACATTTCAATATTCCTTCCACGATATTCGCGTAACGTATATAGAAATATATGATCTTTTTTCAATAACGAATACATTTTGTTATGGTTTCAAATCCCGTAAAAGTTTTTTCTTTTCAAGTGAGAAGATTTATAAAAATATTATCCTACTTTGCAACCGCTGGGTACTCTCGTGTACTCGAATATAGGCATCTAAAGTTACTATAGAATCACGCATAAAGAAGGACTCGCGTGATATTTTTACATTGATCGAATAAACATCTACATGGCAACCGAGTCTTTCTTCCATTTTGCCTTCGCGTTTCTCTACCCTTTAAAGCAGTCTTATTACCATAAACGAACTCTAACCGGTTCGCTTTCGAAAGATAGTCTTTAAACCATATTAAACATTAATTCGTCTAAGACGTCAACAATAGTTTTGGAAATATATAATTAATTATTAGATTAAAAATTGTTTGAGTGTCGCGATGGATGCAACTTCATATTCCACTCGATTAATTACGCGCTAATTATACAAGCTGCGTTTCGTTCATACGTGTACCGTACTCGCATAAACGACGGTCTTGAAAGTACAGGGTGTCCCAATGCTCCTCGTCTATTTTTAGAAATAATAGACGTTTTAGAAAAATAGCTGCAAGATACGAAAGCCAAATAATAAGAAGACTTCTTCATCGGTAACTCTCTACATTTCAACTTTTATATTTTCACACTGGATTAGTATTCGGCGAAAGAAAAGCCGTACACGCAAATTTTCATGAAAGATTCGAATGTATCGAAAATGTATTCAACGAAGATCTACACGGATCTTCTATCTTATAGTTGTTTTATATCATCTCTATTATTGCTAAACAAAGTGGCGGCTCGTGGGAAACGCTGTACAATTAATTAAGTCACCGCATCGCGTCTAAGGCTTCGATTTTCATTGATTGTATTTACAGATCAATTTGTGGCGAAGGTTTCATCGCGATCGAACAATTCTGAAAGGATTCGTCTATGTTCATAAATCAATGTTTCGAGACGTTAACGAAACGAAGTTTGAAGAATCCTCTTTGCACCATCTCGTTCGTGAATCGATGTTCCACCTTTGTAAATGATAAACGCGTCATCGAGATGAACGCTGAAGTTTTTTCTTCGTTTATTTGGTTCTTCCATTATATGCCTGACTAGCGTCACGTTACATTATCTCGTTTACTTCGTCTCATCACGGTGATACCGATGGATCCTCGTATTTTACGTAACAGATCGATGATATCGGCTGTCGACATATCTTTCACGCTTTCGTCGTTCACCTGAGATAGAAGAAAAATGAATGAACAATCAATTTAATAGATTGGTTTACATATCCTATCGAATAATTTTTAGTAGAAGCATCAGGAAATTCAAATCGTTTACGAATATCGTTACTTTTCAATATTATTAGAACGGGAGATTTATTGGGAGTGAAATTCATGAATTATTGTACCATCATAAGCACATCTCCTTGTTTAAGCCTTCCATCTTTGGCAGCAACACTGTCAGGATGGACCACTGATATAACTGTATGATTTCCTTCCGGTTGTAAGCTGAAACCTAGTCGGCTATTCCATCCACGTGTCAGCTCCACCATGAACACCTTTAACAAAAATATTAATTGCAATTTAGAAGTACGCTCAAAATATAAAAATTTCTGGTTGCCATTTCTGCGCTCAAGAGATCGAATTTGATATCAAGAGATTGGATACGTCGATGTTTAGCTACAAAAGTAAAGGAGATATCGCTAAAGAAAATTGTACCTCGGTTCCTTGTTCAAGTTCTTCGCTCGCGACAGCTGAATCCGTGGTGTCTTTTCCGACCTCCTCTTCGTTTTCAGATTTATCTATTCCATCGTCCGGGGCGAACATCACGCCCTTCCACTTCAGCAAACCCTTGCTGCCAGCGGGATCCTCCGTTCCCAAGATTTTTCCTGCGCGACGGAAAACGAAATCACAATCCGCGAAATCAATTTTACATTAGTCTATCGCTAAACTCGAATCATCCCGCCAGGCTGGAGCGAATATTCAATTAGGTCGTTTTTTCGTTAACGCTTTCGAACTTACTTTTGATTTTTATTTAAATCAAAACTTTGCCTACCTCTGATTCGATAGAATTACATCTGAACCGTGTATTAAGTTACCACAATAAATTGTTTTGCTCGATGGCACGATAGGTAGTTAAAAATAAACAAATCCATCAGAGTTACGTTCACAAAGTAATAAGTAACTACGTTGACAACCCTGCACCAGTGTTCACTTTCTACTTTCACAATTTCGTACAACCGAAATAAAATGTCAAAAGACGTTCGTATAACGTGGAGGACTAGAGTAAAGGATTTACTGCGTATCGATGCGGGAGAAAAGTATTCAACAATTGCTCAGCGAACAGTTGATTTGAAACTAATATAATTGAGTTAGCGTGGAATCAAGGTGACTGGACTTGACGTAATAGTAAGATATTGCACGCTTACGTGCTGCTGAAAGATAAGATAATGAAGTACCGTATATGTCGAACGTTTGTTAAATCATCCATTTAATTTTCTATTCCATGCATAAAATACATGCAAGTTTTGTTCCGATAGAATCTCTAATATTATATGATTTATTTTTAAAAATGACTATCACTCTTTGCCTGTGATGACATTAAGCTGTAATTTTACTAAAGTATTATTTATTGTAGAATATGTGCCAGGAAAAAGATTCATACGGTGTTATTAATAGATTCGAATAGAAGTTACTCAAAATACATATGGGTTAAAAATTGTTACTCGATATAATGAATATTTTATTTCGATTAATTGTTGTAAATGAGGGAATTTGAGTTTTCAATACGAGACGTCAGAAATTATTACTCTAAGCTCAACTGGCGTTTATTCAAATGGTAAATAATTGAAATAAATTATTCAAGCAAACATTCTTCTACCATTAGAGAGAAGGATGATGGAAAATCTACTTCTACGCAAAATATTTTGAACAGTGTTAGCGCGAATGCAACGTCACTTTCAGCAGAAAAAATAATATCATATACTAGCCACTACTGATTATTCTACTGCGATTAGTCGATATGAACCGAGATTGAAGGAAGATAATGCAGTTGATATAAAGTAAATCAGACTACTGATAATGCTTTCAAGCACTAACAGAAGCAAAATTGTTGAGATTTCTCCTTTTTAATTTTCAATTTTCTTTTTTAATGCTTTCACTATCGTTATCAGAAAAGTTTCCAACTAGTGCCTATTTTTGAGCAAAGAACTGTATGATTATTCAAATATTCGAAGTCTATTTGTAGCATTTGAATGCCCATAAACTATTCGAACAGTAAATTATTTAACTAGTCTCCGCCCTAGTTTGAAATGTCCACAGTCTGCGGTTTAGACCAGCGGTTTCTAAACATTTTTGAAAACGGAATAGCTAAATGGAACGATTTAAAGGAATAGCTAATAGCTTCACGTGGATCGAACAAAAACAGTAGGAATTATAGGTAATTTACGATTATAAAGATTTTGAATTGTATGTTAATAAAAGTAGAACTCCATGGTAGTAGAAACGTGAGATCCACGGATAGAAAAGCCCTTCGTTAATAATCTGTTACCGAAGAAGCCCTGAAACTATCGTTCCCTCAATTTGATATCACGAATCTGTCAAGCATCGCATTAAATTTCGCGCGAATAAGAATTCTAATAACCTGGTATATCCTGATCGCTGGAATGGGTAGTCTTATTTTTCGCTGCGGCGTCGATACCGGCTCCGCAAGCTGGATTGGCGCTCTGATAAGCCGGGTTCTTATAACTGAATGCAGCAGTGCTTGAGGTACTCGTCGAGGAGAGCACCGGTGGCATCGAAGCTGGCTCGGAGGGTAGATCGTTGTCGTGCTCGTCGCTGGACAATCCGTTCGCTCCCCTTCTCACGTAATCGTTCCCCGTTGTCTTGTTCAGCTCGTCTTCGGCGACGATCCCGTCACCTCCGGGATACTCGAGATCGGAGTCTAGGCTGCAGAACTGAAAATGAGGCTTCCCCTGGGGTGCCGACAAGTCGAGGAAACTCGGTCGCGTCGGTGCCTTGGAGGAATCGCTCGAATCGCAAACGTCGTAGAGCGGCGGCGGATCGATTATGTCGGTTCCAGGTGTGTTTGGTTGGGAATTCGTTATCTGCGTTCTGATCGAGCACTGGTCGGAATCGGATGTCTCCGCCTGGCTGGCCGTTGAGGTCGTCTGCACGCTCGAATGCTTGTCCAGACCTTCTGCAACCACGGACGACCATCATGCAGCAGCCACACATGTTATGATTACACGCGCTTTTACGATAATTTTATTCAAATAATTTCATTTAATTCTATCCTTGTACAGGGTGATCCGCTCGCTGATAGACACAATGGACAACCGCAACAATAGTTGACCGTCATTGTAGACTTTATGACGGTAACCCCCGCAGCGAAAGCGCCTGTATAGGTAAAAATGTGTGTGCCGAGGACTTTTCTTCTCGTACAGGTTTCCCTGCGGGGGTCACCGTCATAAAGTCTACAATGACAGGTCAACTGTTGTTGTAATTAAATTATTACTCGTCAAATGATGTCCTTAACCCTCCGAGGTCACACGTTCTGGAAATGACGCCGACGGTCAAAGGGGGTCCCAATGACCCCAACCATGTTTAAACGAACGTCGCGTTGCCAGTATCGTTTCGAAAGACTCATAAAAATTCAGGATATTAGTTCGAACCTTTCAGAATGAGAATATCATGGCAAACAATTTTTATCAAATTTTCAAAGTGGCGAAAAAGAATCAGCAAGGAGGCAATGCGTAAAAAAGAAACATTTTTTTTACTATAAAAAAAAATCATAACTTTGCCAATTTTTAATATATTTTGATAAAATTAATAACTTGTAGTAATTTTACGTTAAAGTTCCGCTTGGGGTTATTTTGACCCCGGGCGACCGCGAAGGGTTAAATCTGTTTAGACGCGGGGTTCTAAGGCCGATCGCATACGGGCGCAACTGATCAGTTTCAAACCACTCTGAAACTAGTTGCATCCGACCGTGGATCTAGGTAAAACAAAGATAGTGGAGTAGGTAAAACAAAGAGCGCAAACGGTTTCCGACACTAATTTCAAATCGGTTGCGCCCGTGTGCGTTCGGCCTAAGATGAAACGATGCAAACTGGATGCTAAAGTACCTTGATCGTTTTCGGTTGGCGTACGCGTGGCAAGACGACGCAGTCTTCTCGGGGAATTGCAGGATGCACCAGGTGACTGCTTGCAGCTCGAGCCGCTCGATGTACCTGGCGACAGCTTCCGAACCGCTAGATCGCAGAGCATATCCACAGCCTCTTGCCTGTGAAAATATATATCGAAATTTCACCATCGTTCAAGATTATGTTTCTCAGTTTTAAAATACCATTAAAACTTTCAATATCAATTCTTCTTAGAAACACGAAGAATGGAAATGAAGCACTTGAAACTCCTTTGCAATACTTATGCTGTATGCCACGCGTCCAGAAACTGGGGATGGAGGAAAACCAGATCACTAAATCAGGCGTGAGTTCCAGCAATTTGAAAGTTCCGATCGTACGGGCTTCGCCAGGAATTATGCAGCCGGTGATTTGTTTTTCTGTTCGATCGCGAAAGGAAGCTTAATTACAGGGAAAAGTTTACCTCAAACTTGTTCGCGGTGGACGGAGAGGGTGATCGGGCTCGGTCGGCGAAAGAGCGGAGACAGGGGTCTGCGCCAGATCCCTGTATAGCCGGAGTCTCACGGTTGGGCCACATTGTCGCAGCAATTGGACAGCCTCTTCGTGGCTCATGGGCGACAATGGAGCACCGTCCACGGCGACTATTTTGTCCCCGGGTCGAATTCGGCCGTCGCTTAATGCCGGTTCCCTCACTAATGCCCTCACGTAATGACCCAGCGCGCTGCTGTCCGCTTTCCTCAAAGTGAAACCCAGACTACCACCGACCTTCGTCATTTCTATGTCGAATTCCTGCGAGAGATTGTGAAAGCGTTTCGTTTAATCGATAACGCGTTCTTCAATGTCTTTACTTCGTTTCTGTATTTTTAATTTTTTTCAAGCTGTACAATATGCGGGGGAGGGCGATGTACTCTTAAGTTATTAGATAAAATAATTAAATTGTTACTTGTTCTAATTTTTGTTTGAAGGTGATGGACGGTTGCTTATCTTTCAATCTTTATTCGAAATTTATATTTAAACACGAATCCTTGATTATAGTCTCTCTGTAACACGTATCGTACCATGTACCCTTTCATACGATACACAGAGGGTGTTACCAAAATCAAGATACTCAAGAATGATTTAAATAAACAGGACTGAAGACACAACGATTCAAAGTTTGGCCCACAAAGCGCAAACATTATTTTTCTGAATAAAATATTTCCGAATATAATAAATCCTGAACCACAAATAATATTCAAAAATTCAAATGTATCTCCCTTTGTCGCCTCTCTATAATAATTTCAACGCCACTAGTCCATTAAAAGACAGAGCGAAATTCTTTTTCCGAACTGGTAAATCGCGTTTAATTAAATTTAATCGTTACCGAGTACCTCGTGCCGGTGGCAAACCGTGCCATCAGCTTTCTTGTTAGTACCCATAACGGTAGCGGGTTGTCGGACGTAATAGTATCCTATCTCAATTTCGATCTTTCGATTAGCGGCCAAGGGGGTGGAAAATGGAGGAATCGAGCGAATCGGTGATCCAGGAAATTCGGGTATCTGGTGGGATCGCAACAAGGAAGGATTCTTGATAAGAGTTACTTACGCCGCAGGGTTCGATTTGGAGTGGCGGCAGAGGGTTGAGTATTCGCAAGGGCGGCGGTGGCTCACGCCTCGCCGGGGGTGGCGGCGGTGCACCGGGTGGTGTGACATTCGTATCACCCGGAAGTCGACACACCACCAACTCCACGATGCTGGGTGTCGTTCGTAGTACTTCGAGAGCCTCCTGCAACAAGTTGCATCCGGATAAGATTAAAAACTCTCCTTGATCCATCGGAAATTCATGAACATATTTATATATACAGAAATGAAGGGATGGTGATTCTTAAAATAATTACGATTTCTAAGTAAATATTATTTACTAAGTTTTAACATATTTCCTATTAATATTTCATAAAAGTCAAAAAGTTGGAGGACATTACAGCATACAGAATAAGTTACAGATTTCCATAATTATATTTCCAAATTAACTTCCTGAACCACTACGAATTTGTCGATACAGTCTATGTATATCGTGCCTTTTATCGCCCTTAATTTTATTTACATAATTCGTAATAGAGTTAACAAATTTATGCGTCAAGTTTTTAACTTAACCATCGACGTGTTATCGCTATTGGAGAAAGTATTATGCTACGTGGAGAGTAGATACAATATAAACTGATATTACACCTTGATTCCCGAGGGACAAACGGGAAACTATACGCAAGACAGCGTCTATCTTCGCTACGAGTTGCGGATGTAGCTGCATTATGGTAATGAAATGCAAATCTCTAAGAGCTACGAGAAGACAAGCCCTGTAGAACCCATCCGAAGCTATAGTGATCGCTATTTTGTCGTAGCCAGCTCATCGCGTTAAGCCGGTTGGACAGAAATGAAGGAAAATGGTCTCAGCTGAGGGAACAAAAGTCACTCTTACGTGTAAATCAGCGACGAGTCTTAAACGTTAATTATACGTAACCACTTTCGCGATTCAAGAATTAATACCACCTAACCGATCGATATTATTATACAGAAGCTTATCTTTTCACTTCGGCTTGATCGAGCAATCTTGATTTTCTCTTTTAATTTAAATCAATTAATTTTGTTAACATTCAGTTGTGGATTAAATCTTGGATAATAGTTGCAGTTGCGGGAACTTCGAATGTAAATTGGAAGCATTTATTTGTGCTACATTGGGAGAAACAATTTCATCAACCGTGACATTGTAATCAATTTTTAATAAAATTTTCTCAATTTTACTTGTTTCTAAGAAATATCCAGAAACTAGAGTCGAGGTATTTCAATTCGTAGCTCGTGCTGTAACATTGAACATGGCGTGTCCAATAAAATTTCATTGACCTTCATTTTAGTTCTTTTCTGTTTGGGCTAAATATAATAAGCCAAGTTCGTGATAATCTCGAACACACCTGTTATGTTTCACTTACGTAATTAGTGAGGCCGGTTAAAGGAATCCCATTAGCTGCGAGGAGTATATCGCCAGGTTGAAGTTTGTTGGATAAAGCCGCGGGTTGTTGAGGAAACAATCTCTTTACCCTAACAGGTCCAGCGGTTCCTCCACCGGAAACGCTTAAGCCAAGTCCCCGGCTGCTTTTCTGCAACGTTACACGAAACGTGCTTTCTGGAAATCATACAAACGATACGTGTACATTAGTTTCGACGAAATCTCGCGAAATATTAAACGATATATAGATAAAAATAATTCGTACGTTCGAATCGACCAGACTCGAGGAAAAGCGATGATTTTGCTTAAATTGTACAGTCGGAACGGTGTTGGGTAAATGTTTAGACGGGTGAAAGGAAGTAGTATCTTTTTGTTCCGTGGATTTCGCAAAATTGAAGCCGGCTTTTAATTTACGACGCCTGCTGGCGTGACGCATGACCTAATAGTCGGAATTGGGATAGGACGCGAACAATTACTTTATACCCGCTGTTCTATGCAGTGTCGCTGCACCAGCTGTATATTTCAGTCGTAACAGCAACTTTCGCGGGACGCAGCGTCACCCTGTTGTGGTCATATTTTTACGCGGCACCGTGACGTAAAAAAGTGTGCTTTAAAAACACGTGGATCCAAACACAGCGTTTTCCAAACGGGACTTCAGGATTTTGTTTTCGAGTGAAACCCAAACCCAACCATTTTTTGTGCGTATTCTCCTACACACAAAAAAATGGAAAACATACATTTTTACATTAATATTCACCTATGCCGGTAAAAATTTCCTCATCCTTTAATTTTCCGTATACCCGCATAACCGTCAGAAGTAGATCATTTAATCGCAAATAATTTACAATCGTATAAATTTTTAAAATTATTAAAATTGGCTACCAGCTGTCGCTGTGACTGCAGTTGCGATTCGATTTTTCTCTATCCTCTTTTTTCTCTTTTTTTTACACTATGGCGGACTTAGCATGGAACGAGCACCAGTTTGAAATGACTCGCCTTTTACCGGATATTGACCCGATCCGGACGACATATCGTGCGTATTGTTCACTTTGTTCACCATTCAAACCGAGCCCTCTCCTTTTCACGTTATTGTCTAGGATCGTACAGTGTCAATCTTCCCAAAAGAGTCGGGCCATTGTTGGAATTGTTTCGAAATCGTGGATTTCCCGAACGTGGCACGCTGATCGTTCTCTAAACGCTCGGCGAGGTTTAAGAATCGATATCGATGGGAATTACGACTAGCAGCGGCCGTTGCCTGCGGTTAACCATTCGAAGTTAACGAAAATTCGAACGAGAGATATCTGGATCGCCGGAAATTCCGGTCGGAGATATTTGCACTCGCCCCTGACACGATCCGATCACTCCCTCGAGGGTCTTCCTTGAGGCAGTTTTAAATAAAAAATTCGATTCGTTGCTTTCATTACATTTTACACGAGCCTGAAGAACGTATTTTTGTTCGACATTTGAGAAATCGAGGATTCGATTAAATGAAGGTGTACTCTTTTAGAAGTTCGGAAATATAACATATATTTGATCATATTTAGTGGAATACTTAACAACGAAAAATATTTGAAACACATTTTATTGTTTCTATTGAACATTATTGTACGCAAAATACTTCTATTATTCACTCATTAATTTTTACGGCGCGATAATAGCTTCGAAACTAAAATGTTTATGTTTAATCTAACAGAATATTTAAGTACTGTAAAAGCTTTGTCATCGATGCAAGTAACAAAAGTTGAAAATATCGATGTTACAATACTAAATGTATCGTGTTTTAACGCTCGAATATATTAGAATTATTTAATCACCTTGATATTCATGGGATTCTAACAATTTGTCATGGAGCGAAAAATGTTCGATGTTCGTTCACGCTGAAAGGAACACTGTGTAAAATTAATGGAATGGAAACGAATGAAGAAAAGACGAATGAATCGAGGCCAGGAAGATTAATGTCCCTTTCTTCTGTACTTTTGAATTTATTATTCCCTGTAACTTCACTTAATTATCTCCAATGAATATCCGCGGTGGAATCCCTATGGATTTTCTAAGAAGATTCAATACAGATAATTTATTCCATAATCGTCTAGAAATTAAATGCCGGAGTGTTCGTTACTTAATCAAATTTTTTGGGGCTTATTTCCGGGAGTCGTTATGATTATACAAAATTAAACATATTTCTTGCGATACAATGATTTTGTCTTCACGAGTCTATTATATCATTTTCAGAATACGTTTTAGTAATTGAAACTTCAAGAGCAATTAAATTAGTTACTTTACATTTGCCTTGCCTTGCCTTGCACATCAATAAATATTTAAACCACAAAAACTTGTTCCATTCGTAAATTAACTTTCGTTTTCGAAAAGCAGCGATACATGCACTGTCATTACTTTTCCTATCTAGAGTTAATAGTCTACTATAATTTCGCGAAATTAAACCGTATAAGTGTTCGATGTTAGTGGTATGTACTCGAAAAGCGTCCAATTAGCGCGGCTAGAATATATGCTGTGGCACGACTACTAATTCAGGCAAGCTCTACAAAACGTGCGAAAACACAACTACTAATTTAGGGGAAACCCTAAAAGTGCTTAACGAGAAGTCCGAGACTCGAATACAAAAGCCCCTGGAGACGAAGTACTGGTATATGTTAGCGCAAAATTTATGATTCACGAATTCGGGAGAGGCTCAACGTGTAATTTAATTTTCCAGCGTTTTCCTTGAGGGAATTCGCCAAGTCGAATTCATGGATTTCGTTCCAAGTCGATTTCCTCGTAATCGCGAATTAAACAACTTTATCTGCAAAATTACGCTTTTAACGTTTTAATTTCTGGATGTTTCATCGAGGCTCCTTTATTACGTTATGAAATAATGCAACTCTTTATAAATAAAATGCTTGTTTCCTACGCTTTCTTGTTATGGAAGCTCTTACTATGTTGCCTGAAAACTCGAGTTCGCGCGTACCACAGTAATCACCAGAGTATATTTTAAGGAAATAAGACCGTGTAATGAATACATATAACATTTTCGTGGGAGTGCATAAAGAAGAGAAGAGCATGAAATATAACATGAAGTACATGACACGAGTCTGAGACTGTTCTCGTTAATAGAAGGACCATTTTTCAAAATGATAACAGCAATGACATCCCAAACAAACCATCAATTTGTGTGGAAAACAATTCGTCAGCAAAATGAGGTTTTCCTGACTTTATCGTTGATTTTTCAACTCCCACGAACGATCATTTAATTATTCGAAGACGTTATTAGCCGTGTCGCATTACCAGATTGCGTTTCGTACGATTACGTTCGAATTTCCTTGTGATCTCGAGGGTTGGTAATATCCGCGATCGCGGCTCCAACTCAGCAAAGGAGTCACAGTTATTATGTGTATACTTGCCCGCTTTGATGCGATGTCAGAACCGACTGCCACCAAACGGATGCTTCGATTTAGCCAGGATTAGATCTCTTGATCCTGTCTCGTGTTTAGTGGCCGTTGATGACGTGAAGATTAGATCGGGCTGCAGCTGAGCGTTTTAGCTGATATTCAACGATAATTAACTCGAACTTCAGACCCAGAAATTGATTTGTGCGAGCAGGTCCCTTTGGATTTTGTCACATAGTGATTTCGGAGCACGTCGTGGAAACGTCAACTCGTGTATGCATGGTAATTTCGGAAATTGATGTCGCCTTACGCTCTAATTAGATTGTTTGTCTTTCCATTTGCAGTTACAATCGGAGATAAATAAATAATTAGGAGTAATACTTGCCAGTTGCTAAACCAGCGTAAATTATTTTCTATATAAAAGCCTATGACAATATTTTTTCTAAAAAACGCTGCAACAGGATACAATCAATTTCTACAAAAATTGAGATTTCCAATGATCCTATTAAATTAAGAATTACCAAGTAATTCAAAGGATAAACGAGCTTTGAAAATGCCAAACTGATCAACTCAGTTGCAGCAATTCCTCGTGGATTCATCCACAGTACGATTTATTACGTAATCCTCCAGTGTATTTGCTTATCGTGACGAAACTGAAGCACGACGTTTTTCAATTTATCAACTCGACAAAGGATTCGTACGACAACGATTGTAAATATCGAGGGAGGAGTCGACGGAGGATCGTCGAAAACCACCAAATCATTTCCAAAGTAATCTCGAGCCCCGCAATCGCCGCAAACAAGGCTGTGACGCTAAATAATTTACGGTGCATCGACATAAAGGCGACATATCCGAGCAGCTACCAGGCCCGACTAATTGAGTTGTGAACGTGATGACGTTACCCTCAGGATTATAATGCGCAGCGTGTTTTAGCGTAGACACGATAAATTTTGCCGCCGAGCAATTGTCGAGCCTAACGGAAATAAACCTTTGGCTTTACTTACGTAGAAATTAATTCTATCCCTTTCTATTCAATCATTTATAATTCTAGTTTAAACAGATACGCACAACATTGTTACATGTATGGAAACCTGTGTTATCATTTGCAGGCTTTGTTAATTTAAAAGACTTTTACAATAAGTCTTTTACTACATCGTGTATAGTAAGGATTTTACAAAGTTTTTGTCGTAAGTTTATTGAGTTTTCCCATTATCTGATATTCAATTTACGATAAGCACTGCGTAAGTATGATTAATTAAAGTCGCGTTACGTTAGATGAATTTTTTTAATGGAAGAGATAATCCATAACCCGAAGGAAAGAAGAATCCAGATTAAACGACGCTCAATTTTCTACTTTTCTGATTATCCTCAACGGGTGAAATTAACTGCCGCCCCAAGAATTCCATTTAAATGTATATTTCGAGGCGGCAAACGTTCTCAGAAACGGCAGATATTTTTATAGGAAATAATTGCACCGATTTATCAATCATCTATTTACATTTGTCAGATTTGCCGTTTGTTTCGCTTCCTTTCATTCGTTTAACCATCGTTCGATAGAAACGAAAAAGGATTTTGCTAACATGACTTAAAAGGTTCGTCGACCGACATTTGGTTCACTAAACCATCGATCCGATACCGATAACACATCGCCAACACGTAAGTAGGTATCGCGCTCAACTCGGTGATTAATGATGCACGATCCTTAAGGGATCATTCGACTCGCAATCTAGAAGAATTTATAGCGTGCAGCAAACAACTTTGAAGAACAACCGTATATATCTCGTCAGGAATGCT